CTGCCTGGGCCTCACGCTCTGGAAGTTTCTCAAGCAAAAATGTTCACCCACGGCCAGCATCTTTTTCTATTCAGTTCAGTCCATCTTGGTTGTTTTCTGGGTGAAGGGGCATGCTACAGAGAATAGTGCACCGTCCCTGCACCCAGGGAGGGGCCAATGCATACATGGGCTGGAGGCCAAGCCCAAGAGACAGACCACCTGGCCCAAACCCTGTCTTTACCACTTCCTAGTGGCCTGACCTTGGGCAAGTCAGGTCACTTCTCTGAGACGCAGTTTCCCTATCTGTAACACAGTGAGGTCATTAGTAGCTGCCCATAGAGTTGTGGTATGAATGTGCAGGGAAAGGTAAATACATCGAAAGTGCTTAGAACAACGCCAGGCACACAAAGAACAGCCAATCCGTGGCTTTCATTACAACCCCTTTGGGCATTTGGACAAGTCCAGACCAGTGATGCTAACTAACATAAGTAGCATCATAAGTCTTTTTGCATATATCCTACACTATAGAAAGCAATTTATATTTTATCTCATTCAAGAAAATTGAGCATGAGAGATGATAGCAATAATAATTTGCTACCTGAATTAAAGGTATAGCGCTTAGGATCACCTTACAATCAATCTAATCCAATCCATCATTTTTGCAGAGATAAATGACATTTAAGTGATTTAGCCACATCACATCTCACTACCAACAAAAGTTGCAACCAGATCCTTGTTCTTCTGACTCCTTCACATCATGCCCATTTCCCGGCACCATGAGCATTCCTACACGTACAAGCACTCACGGCCACAGCAGGACAGACAGAGGTTCTGCTGCGGGGTGGGAGGTCCGGCTCAGTGGTAGAGCCCTTGTCCACGTGCACAAAGCCCTGAGTTCCAACCTCAGCACCAGCACAGCGGGGGTGAGGGGGGACATGAAATCCCATTAGAAAGAATCCTTTTTCTTGTTCTTTCCTTGGTGAGAGTGGAAACTCAGAGTGAGGTGCCTCTGTTGTCCAAGGCCTGCAGAGACACTAAAATAAGTCAGACCCCAATCCCAGCAAAATCCACATCTTAAAAGCCCTGATCAGCTAATTCCCACTCAGAGTGGAAACACTTCAAACTGAATTGTACAGAAAAAAAAAAAAAAAAAAGGTTTAAGCTTTGTTAGGAGATTCATATTTTGTCTCAGCCCCGATATTTATTGATATTTATTGGCCATATGATTGTGAAATTTGCTTCACTTCCCAGAGTCTCTCCATTTTGACATGTTTCTCTTCAATTCATTTATGCAGTTTACTAAGATCTCACTTCGTATTTCTTTTTGTGATGCTGGGCCACAAAGCCCAGAGAACACAGGGCCTCCTGCTTACTAAGCAAGCACTCTACCACTGAACTACACCTCTAGCCTGCCAAGACCTCATTTTTGATAGAAACCAGAGTGTCAGGAAACAAGTCTTCTTTGATTTATACAGTGGGAAAGTACATTTGGGAGGCACTTAAAAACAATTGGAAAAGATAAAATGCTTAGAGTATTTAGAGTGTGCTTATCTGTCCACTTAGTAAGTATTCAATAAACATGTCAAATTAATCAATTGAAGCCAGATGTGGTGGCCCACACCCATAACCCCAGCAATTTGGGAGGCTGAGGCAGAAGGATTGCAAGTTCAAAGCCAGCCTCAGCAACTTAGTGAGGCTCTAAGCAATTTAGCAAGCAATTGCTAAAATAAAAAAAAAAATTAAAAGGGCTGGGGATGTAGCTTAGTGGTTAAGAACCCCTGGGTTAAATCCTTGGTACAAAAAAACAAACAAACAAAAACCCACAATTGAGTGAGTGTTGGAGTGTTTGATGTTTTGATTCTCTCTGGAAGCAGGAACTTAGAAGATTTATCAATCTATTTATTCAATCAATCTAAAACATACATGAGGTCTCCGTGTGAGTCTAGCTTTGAGCTGGGCACGCTGAAAGGAAGTCGAAAGCTAAGTCCAAACCCTGGAGGGGTTTACAATACATTTATGGAAACAAGACATGAAAAGTCAATCACTGATACAGAGATTGAGGAGTGCCTAAGGAGAGGTTCAGAGCTGAGTGAGATCCCTGTCCAGCGGGTAGCACTGGAGGGAAGTACAGGCTGGGCTTGTGCGTTTGGAGGAGGCTTCTTGGCACACCTGAGACTTGAACTTGCTCCTGACAGGGAAGCAGGCTTGGATGGGAGGCAGCATAGGGGATCTGGGAAAAAATTCTGGGATGTGGGAAATCACTCAAGTATGGAACGCCAGAGAGTCCTGCTTGGCATTCCAACTCTTGCTTTTAACTAGATGGCTTTGGACAAGTTCATTAAGTCTAAGTGTTGGTTTTTCCCACTTATAAAAATAATAGGCACCTTGCCTGGCTCACATCAAAATCCTGTAGACAGAGTGACTTAACAACAGAAATTTGTTTCTTTCAGAATTCTGGAGGCTGGAAACCTGGAACCAGAATGCCAGCATGGTCGGGTTCTTAGCAAGGACTCTCTTCCTCGTTATGTCCACAGAGAATTCTTGTGTCCCCTTCTCTTTTTATAAAAGGAATTAATCTTGTGCTGGGGGCTCCACCCTCACAACCTGATATCACCCTATCTTCAAACACCATCACATTGCAGACCAGGATTTCAATACATGCGCGGGGGAGGGGGGGGGGCGTACAAACATTCAGTTCATAGCAATAACAGCCTGATTGCAAGTGGTTGGGAGGATTAAATGAGGCAATGTATATCAATCACAGTTCAAGTGATAACTTTGGCTGCTCCTATTCTGACACTCCAGAGGCAGTAAAGCCCACGTGGGTTCAGAGGTGGACCCTGGCTATCTTGACAGGCAAACACTGACACTATCAGAGCAGGAGAAAAGCTACCCCAGCACTGAAGCTTGGTGGTTGCTGCTCAGTAAGATCTGACAGCAGCTCAAGAGAGCTCGGAAAGTTGGTCTTTACAAAAACAGTTTTATATAAAGTGCCTTGGAGGGCTGGGGCTGTGGCTCAGTGGTAGAGCACTTGCCTAGCATGTGTGGGGCACTGGGTTTGATCCTTAGCACCACATAAAAACAAACACGTAAAATAAAGGCATGCTGTCCACCTACAACTACAAAAAAATTTTTAAGTGCCTTGTATAAAAGGCAGACATCTGGTAAATAGTTTGGGCAGATGAATGATTGAATGGGCTAGGGAATTATTTCTGAGAGTTCCTTGATTACCTGATTAACCAGATGACCCAACCTTTAAAAAACTGATTATGAATTTCTGCCCAAACTACTTCCCAGAGTCACAAGAGGCACATTCATGTGTATACTGCCATATGAAAAAGACTGAAGATGGCAAGCTGGCCCCCAGCCGAAATTAGGATCCCCCAAATCTTTAAAAAAATAAGGGGGGGACACCCTCGACTGTCATCAATGATAAAGTAAGCACAATTCCTCAGTATCCTGCAGTGGTCTCTTACAAACTGGAAAGGAGACTTGTAATGCATATACTTAAGGTGTCCAATAGTCAAAGCACTGAAAAGTGAACCTTCTCATATGGGACCACAAAGGTCATCTGAGTCTGGGTGTCGGCCCTAGCTGCACATTTGAATCACCTGTGAAGTTGTGCCAGCAGCTTTCCATCACCCTGCCGAACACCTGAGATAATTAACTCATCAAAGGAAAGGCTTATCTTGGCTCACAGTTTACAAGGTTCCTGTCCATAGCCAGTTGGCCCTATTGCTTCTGTGCCAGTGGGGAAGCAGGACATGATGATGGGGACGAACAGTAGAGCAAGGTCACTTACATCATAACCAGACACTAAAGGGAGAAAGAAGGGACCAGAGTCTCACAATCCACTTCAAGGACACGCCCCCAGTGACCTGAGGACCTCACACTAGGCCCCACCTCTTAGAGGTTCCACCACCTTCTGTTAGTGCCAATCTGGGGAATCAAACCTCCAACACAGAGGCCACTGGGGGACATTTAAGATCCAAACCATAGCAGGGGCTCTTTCAATATATCAAAATATGCCTGGAGACTACCTGAATCATTTCTGGATTCTGAATCTACAGTCATTTCTGAATCATTCACCTGAGGTGCAGCCTGAGCTTTGTTCTATTTTGCAATTGCCCAGGTGATCTAATGCACAGTCTTGGTAGAGAACAAATGATCTCCGCCAGTTCCCTCATTTTGCAGATAAGAAAACGGAGGCCCAGAAGGGACACATCAACTTGAGGTCACTTCTGACTATGCAGGGACAATACTGCTTTTCAGATCTCACAGGAAGTACATCTGGTTCCCACATGTGAGCCATAAGGCAGTGTGCTGGCGCTGCCCCCTCTAGTCCCCATAATTACCTCATAATGAGCTTCAACTTCCTTTTTGAACTCAAGGGAATGCTGGAACTCTCCTGCCATTTCACTCCTTTCCCCTCTCTGCGGCCTCAGGCTAAATGTTACCCTTCATTTCCTCAAGTCCTCTGCATGTAGACAGGAGGGAAGAATTTGGGACTAATTTATCAATACAAAAAAATCTGGAAGAGTTCAGCATTTCCCCTCTCAGCTAAAAAAACGATTCCACCCCAAATGCCAAAGGTTTCAGTCAAGTGTGTTCACAATAAATTAGTTCAGTATTTAAGACTTTCTTCATAATTAGTCCAGATTATTACAGGGTTTTTATGCCTGACTGTTTTTAAAATGACCAGAATGACAGAATCTCTCAGAAATTATCAAATATACAGAAGTCAACACAGCTCACTGAACAATCAAAACTGAGAACAGCCCATGTTAACCCAACACCAACAAAATCCCTCTTTTATTCACTTTAAATTAACTGGTCCTCTTTGTTGGCCTCCATTATGATTTAAATATCTCCCAAAAGCCTGACCTAAAGGTTCGGTCCCCAGCTAATGGAGCATTTGGGTGCTGCAACCTTCTCATCTCTCAGATGCACAGCCATTAGTTAAGGAGATACCGGATGGATGCTCGGCTATGGAGGATAAAGAAAAGACAAACAGACACACATAGGGAGAAAAAGCTAGGGCCAGGTGGGTGGCCAAGCCCTGGTGAGGCTTGGCTAACTCAGAGCTAGCTCAGCAAGTTTATTATACAGGTTTTATCATTAAAAGTTTCATTGTTAGTAAGTTTCAGCAAAGCAAGCAATCTGAAGGACACAGGACTCCAGAGACATTAGGGTCACCTTGTTTTGCTCAAAATTCTCTATCCCTGGGAGAAGGTGCTGAACTCAAGGCCTCAACTGATAGAGCCATACATGCAGCCTCTCCTAGCTGGTGTTACCATAACTACTGGGGCATCTTGACCTGCACCTTTCCTCAGGCAGCTCCCAGCACAACTGCAGCCATGAAAGTCAGGCCATGATTTAGATCACTGCTCTCTGCAGTTGGGGGCCATCAAACATTAGTAGGTAGAGCCTAGTTGGAGGCAAACTCTCTCTCTCTCTGCTTCCTGGCCACCCTGAAGTGAGCAGCCTCCTTGCCACATGCTCCCACTGCCATGATGTTCTGCTTCACTGTGGGCCCCAAAGTGAATGGGCCCACCATGGGCTGAAACCTCTGACACCATGAGTCAAAATAAATTGTTCCTCCTTTTAAGTTAACTCGGGTATTTTTGTCACATTGACAGAACGCTGACTAATACAGTCTCATACACAGCCTCCATCCTATTGATTCTGTTGAAAACTTCACATTGGCAAATGTGTGCTTCAGAGTATCTTCTAAGGCTTTTTAAAAGTGGTCTCAAAGTTTTGTATGTGTGATTTCTGAAGTTTCTACTTTTCCATAATTCCTGATTCTCTTCATTAGCAAGAATTTATAACCAGTCAGGTTTTGCAGTACAGCCGTCAAAGCCTCTGGATGTGGCCTCTTTTTCCTCTCGTCTTGACAATTCGAGTCCTTCCTGAGTTCCAGAGACTGGTGGACTCTGAATCACACTCCAGGGTCCCCTGCTAACTAGCAGGAGTGGGGAGAGGGGGAGAAAGCTGAAGTAAGGGAAAGGGAGGGTGGTCAGCAAGACCCCTGGCCTCTGCTCCTCGGCATGGCTTTGTTTCCCAGGCCAATTGCATCCGTGCCTGAACAGAAACATTTTCTGAGAAATGATCATCATTGCTGTCCTCCTTCCTGACCAACTTTGGCAGATGCTAGCCGGAAACTAGTCTTTTCTACTCTTTACCGGAATGGTATCCTTGTTGCTCTTTCTGGAAGTTGCATGTTATTTATCCCTTGCTCCTTCTTTGCCTAAAGAATGAGCCTCACTCAATGAGCTGCATCCACTCCCTTAGTCCATTGGTTGAGTAAACATTCACTATGTGCCTCTGTGTGCTGCCATCAGTGTCCATATTACGGAGGGAGACAGTGCCCTTGTCTTCTAACAGTGGTCAGTCTTAGCAAAAAGACAACCCAAATAGGGTTGCAGATTAACATGTTATGTATTAGCTGTCTCCATGAAAACACACCCAAATAATTTTGGAACATAAAATTATACTACAGGGACACTATCTCAGTTTGTTCTTTTTTAAATTTCAGGAGGAAGGTAACTTCACCAGTACTAGAGAAGAGTTCTATCAGGTTCCAGTGGTCCTTCTTGTCTTCCAAATTCTCATTCTTTGAGACTCTGCTTCCACTTGAAAGAGAATCAGAAGAAAAGAAATGAATATCAATAAAAAGACAGGGATATGATATGATCTATGCCTACAAAACGATTAAGTATAATTTGGGTAAACATGGACTTTATCTAGCAAATCTCAAAATATTAAAATTTAAGTTTCCCTCTCAAAACTCATAAAAGTTCTAGAAAGTTTTTAAGTAGAAGAGCTACCAAATTGTACACAGGTGGTGAATATTTGGTGTTGCCAAATGTCGATGAAATCAGCAATATGATTAGCACTGAGAAAGAAATTTCAATCAGTTAATGAATGAGTTGCCACAGTGGGAATGTTGGGGGTTCCTGACATTTGTGGCTAACAGCCAAGAGAGTGATGCATCCTCGCCTGGTTTCTGCTGCTTACAGGGACACCAATTAGCTGTGAAAACTCAGACAAGTCACTTCCCCTCTCTGAGCCTCCACAGCCTCACCTGCAAAATGAAGGGTCAGCCTGGCGGAGCTCCCAGTCCCTTCATTATACATTCTGAGAAACCATCTTTTGGAGCTGTTGGGAGAAACAGGATATAGAACTAACCACCCTCAGGTCAGATGTCACAGGGTATTTCTGTTCTGAAAAGAAACCTTTGGTGAATCACTTCATAAAGAATGTGTTTGTCTTCTGCATTGGGGTTTCTGTATGCTAGTTTATAATTTCTTTTATAAACTATATAAATATAAGCACTGAGAAGCTATGAAGTCCACAAAAAGTCAGAGGAGCCTGGGTTAACCAGGAGGGTGTCTTGGAGACGAATCTTACCTGGGTCTGGGAGTGTGAGCCACACTATGGAAACGAAGCCAGCACCATGTGCCCCACAGTCATTAAGGACACAGGGCTCAGGCCAGTGGGTACCACCATCTCCCAAGGATAGCCAGCACAAGCAGCAACCTATTTGATGTCGTGTAAAATGGGCCAGAAAGGACTCTGGGTGTTATGGTTTGGATGTGAGGTGTCCCCCAAAAGCTCATGTGTGAAATGATACAGGAAGGCTCAGAGGAGAAATGATTGGGTTGTAAGAGGCTTAACACAATCAGTGAATTAATCCTCCATAGGGATTAACTGAGTGGTAAATGAAGTGGTAGGGTATGGCTGGAGGAGAGGGGAATTGGGGCATGGCTTTGAGTGACATATTTGTATTCAGCAAGTGGAGATTCTCTCTCTCTCTCTGCTTTCTGATCACCATTAAGCCGCTTCCCTCTGCCATACTCTTCCACCATGATGTTTTCCCTCACCTTGAGCCCTGAGGAATAGAGTCGGCTTTCTATGGATTGAGAACTCTAAAATCATGAGCCCTAACATAAACTTTTTCTCCTAAAATTGTTCTAGTTAGATCTTTTAGTCACAGCCGCAAACCAACTGGCTGAAACACTGGGCTCCCCTCTAACAGCCAGGTCCATTCCTCTTGCCATCTTGCCCCAAAACTGTCCCACCCATGGACTTCTTGCTATGCTTCATTTTTGTTTAAGCAAACCTGAATGAATGCTTTTTGTCACTACGAGCTGGATTTAATTTGCCTCTTGGAGGGCCCATTCATTTCCAGTCCCTGTGGGACCAGAGTTCTTCACTTCTGCCCTGTTTCATCCCCAACCCCCACCATGTGCTGCAACCCAGATGGACAAGCCCAAACAAAAGTGACCACAGCTGGCTGTACCTGTTGGTGGAGAAAAGCAAGCAGGTTGTGAGGTCAGAAGGAACCAGCAAGTTTCTTAAACCATCTAAGTTTCACTTTCCTCATTCCTGTAAAACAGGAATCACACTATCAATTCAGGGTTATTGTGAGGATTAAATGTGATGATGAATGTAAAATTATGTAGAAAGTGGTTGGTATTATGTTACTCTGTACTGGAAGACATTTGCATTTTCCCAGAAGTCTGCTGGAGATAGATCCTTGTGGATTTGGACTGAATGTTTGTGTGCCCCTTCCATTCATTTGTTGAGATCTTAACCCCTGTGTGCTGGTGATGGTATTGGGAGGTGGGGGCCTTCTGGAGGAATTAGGTCATGAGGGTAGACCTCTCATGAATAGGACTAGTGTCCTTGTAAAGAGACATGAAAGTCCGCCCTCCCTCTCTCTGCTGTGTCACATGAGGATACAGTGAGTCCTGGCTCTCCCCAGGACCAAAACTGCTGTACCCAGATCTTGGCCTTCCCAGTCATCAGTGCTGTACAAAACAAATGTGTGTTGTTAGCCACCCAGCCTATGGTGATTTGTTACAACATCCTGTGCTGTCTAAGATACTTGGTAGGAAGAAAAAATGAATTTTTAGTGGCCATGTTCAAGAGGGCCAGTGGAAAAGCTTTAGCAACCACAAGATCATGGATTTAAAAAATAAATCATGGCTCTTCTTGGCCAAGATTAGGGTTTCTTAGGCAATATAGTCCCTTAAAATTTATTAGGCTTTCATCATTTCTTCTGGTCGGTTCTATAGCTCGTGAAACAGGGGTCTCCCGATTGAGGTCTTGTGCTCTACCCATCTCCCACTCTAACTTACTAGTTTTAAGACCTCTGCCCAGAGGCAATCCAAATCGTATTCTCAGGCAGGGAACCACCACCTCCAAGCCAGTGCTGGTCACAGCCTGTGCAGGGTCAGGTAGAGACACTTATAGGAAGGTGTTTGAGAGAGGCCTGGCCTCTAAGGTTTTCTTGGCCCTAATGTCTCCTGGAGATAAGATTCCTGCCCTCTTAGCTTTCAGTGGGGCATAAGCTTGTGTTTTTCTCTAATTCCTTTTGTATAAGACACACAGGCCACAAAAGCGTATCCCACACAACCCCAGCATCCTGAATAGTCACCATTTCCCCTAATGCTCTGCTCTGGGTAGGTATGAACGGTCCCAGGGATCAGCTGAAAATGGCTGGATTCACAACCACATAACGCGGGGCCACCAGCTTCTAGCTGGAGCAGCAGGGGTCTTGACTCTCCTTCCTGGCCGCCACACCCCCTCAACTCACCCCATGCCTTATTTTAGGGCCCAGCACTGTGGCACTCTACTTCTTCATGCCACAATCTTTTCAAATGCCCTCTCCAACTCCGACGTTGACCTCGCACCATGAGAGAGCCCAAGTTTGAGGCCAAAGCCCGGCTTGCCTGCTGGTCCCCCTACTTTGCCCTGGTGATCTACCAGCTGCATCCTCAGGCCAGTGGGAAGATAACTGTGGCATTTTCTGATGTCACATATGGACACAATAAGATCTTTCATACGTTTTTCTTTGGGAGTAAGAATTTTGCCAATGCCCCATAGCCTCTCCCAGTGCTTCACAGGACAAAAAGTGGGCTCTGTGTCCCTTCCTAAAGCAATTACCAGAAAAGGCAGCAAGATGGCCATGAGAGCTTTCAAAGTCTGGTTTGGGGCCCTCTAGAGTCTCCGACATTGTTTTCATAAAATGATTGCCTCTCCTCGCACCCCCACCATTTCCTCAGAGTGAGTTTTATAGATACTACGTGATGGGTGATGACACAGGACACCGAATGAAGAAGCAGATGTGAAAATCTAGCTGTCTTCTAACAAGTCAGATATTAAAAAAGACTTGAAAAGTGTAAAATGATGCCACTCTAACTTACTAAGATTTTTTTTTCTTTTTAGTTTTGGAAAATACAGTTATTTTTATAAAAATGTATTCACTGGTTAATACTTATTGGGCTTACTATATCTTTGTTAAATAGTTTTAACAGATGAATGGATAAAGAAATTGTGGTATACATACACAGTGGAATATTATTCAGCCATAAATAAAGATGAAATTATGGTATTTTCCAGCAAATGGATGAAACTGGAGACTATCATGCTAAGTGAAATAAGCCAATCTCAAAAAACCAAAGGCCAGGATTTGCTAAGAGATGCTATGATATATGTGGGGGTCCCTGCCTTCTCCAAAGAATGTATAAAACTGCTGCAAACCCTGGGCTCGGGGCCTCTCAGCATCACCTGTTGCTGTATGTGCGCGGAGGACCAAGCTAGCTCGCAATAAACACCTCTTTGCTGCTTACAAAAAAAAACAAAAAACCAAAGGCCAAATATTCTCTCTGATATGTGGTTGCTAACACACAATAAAGGATGAGGGAGGGAAGAATAGAAGTTCGTTGGATTAGACAAAGGGGAATGAAGGGAAGGGATAAGGGATGGAAATAGAAAAGACAGTAGGATGAATTGGACATAACTTTCCTATGTTCATACATGAATTCATGAGTAGTGTAACTCCACATCATGTTCAACCACAAGAATGGGGTCCTAATTAGAATAAGTTATACTCCATGTATGTGTAATATGTTAATAATAATATACTCTACTGTCATGTATTATCTAAAAAGAACAAAAAATAGCTTAAAATGTTCTCAGTTTTACAGTCAAATGCAGAAAATATGATATAATCCACATAAACAAAATTGCTTTGAGTTTCTCAATAAGTTTTAAGATTGGAAATGGGTCTGAGACCAAAAAGTTTCAGAACCCTCACTCAGATCAATCAACACCCAGCCCCTGAGGCTGTAGCCAGCATCCCCTAGAGTTCTAAGGCTTCAAAGGAGGGTTAAATCGGGGTCCTAATGAAATTAGTAAGGGTGAAATAATTACTGAGCAGGAAACCAACAATGCTCACTATAGTACACAATAATTTTTAACTGAACTGAGAAATGAGGTGTTTTGCCCAAGGTCACACACAAGTACTGGTAAAATCAGGTCTTCGGACTACTGGTCGAAATTAGTCACCCTTCTGACTGCCATACTTTCTGCAAAGCCACATTGCTTTCTTGCAAAAGGGCTGAAAGTTATTTAGAATTTCTAGTAAAGTTGGAGTAAGCTGAGCATGCTCATAAAATGCTGGTCAAATTACAAATGGTACAGTCTTTCCAGAAAGCAATTTGGCAATATGCATCAGGCACTTTAAAAATGTTCGTATCCTTTAACCCAGTAATTCCATTTCTAGGAATCTACACAAAGGAAATAATCAGAAATGTGAATAGAATCTACGTATGAGGATACTCATCAAAATGTTATCTTCAATAATGAGAAATTGGAAACAACCTGAATGTCCGATAATGTGAGAATGGCTAAATGAATCCTGATGAATTAAAAATTAGTCACCCTTCTGACTGGCTGTTTATAGTGGCTTGAGATGGGAGATGAGCTAAGTGTGAATATTTTACAACAAACATATATCTTCAAAAAATAATGAAAATAAACATATAATTTTGACTTTGAAAGAACTTAATGACATGGGAAAATCTAATATGGCATTGAGTAAAAAACCATGGCACAGGGGCCTAGTACGTGCAAGGCCCTGGATTCCATCCCCAGGACCACACACACACACACACACACACACACACACAGCCATGATAAAATACTAGGCATATAATAAAACATCACTAACATACCTGTGGGAAATCTTTCTGGAAGGAACTATTCCAAAATGTTATCATTTGCCCATTATCTCTAGATAGAAGATTATTCGGGATTTTGCTTCCATTCCCTCCCAAATATTCCAAGGGTCTAGAACAAGCATTCTATGCCTTTGTAATTCTGGGAGGAAAGAAGGTTATTTAACGGAA